ATTCTGACTTCAGTTTTTTTTGTTCATGACTGAAAACAGTTAAGAGGTATGTCCTTATTGTGGCTTATGAACTCTCTCTCTCCTTATAGCCCTAGTGAATCTACTTATGAGAACCAATAATATTAAGCAATTTTTTTACAATTAGATGCTGATATTATTTCCATTCCATGTTTCAGTAGCTGTGAGCTGTTTCTGCTGGGCTGTTACATCCTGTTGTTAATTTGCTTTCTTATATAACATCTGTTTCATTGCATATTTTATTTATTTACCTGGCTGTCATCCTGGTTGCTGGAAGAATGCAAAGTAGTTGGAAAATATATTCATAACAATTGTTTTCACCCTGAGACAGCAGTTGAAGTGATGATAAGAAACCCCATTACCTTGTTATGTTTTCAAGATAGAGGAAATTAAAAGTGCTGTGAGATTAGGGATTTGAGAAAGCAGTCTTCAGTGGTGAAAAATTCACACTCTTTCAATGGCGTGTTTTTAGAAGCAGTCTTAAAAGCAGGGGCATCCAACCTTAGCAACTTTAAGATCTGTGGCTGGCTGGGGATTTCTGGGAGTTGAAGTCCACCAGTTTTAAAATTGCCAAAGTTGGACACTGCTGCATTAAAGATTGAAGAATAATTAGCCTAAGACAGGGGTAGGCAACCTTGGCTCTTTTATGACTCATGGACGCTGACTCAGGAATTCTGGGAGTTGAAGTCCATGAGTCATAAAAGAGCCAAAGTTGCCTACCCCTGGCCTAAGACAAGTCTAGCCCTACTGAACATGGAGATGTGTTCAACTACAGCTTTTCTCATGCAGATCCAGACTCTCCATGCTGTTGTGAATGATAGAGGTTGTAGTCAGGCACATCTGGAGATTCAAGTAATCTTATGCTTAGGCTGACTACTAAGCATAACCTTAATGCCTGCCAGATAGAGTTGTAGTTTAACTCTATCTGGAGGGCAGTTGGTAAAAGACTAGTGTAATGGATCAAGCGTTATCTTTTGTTTAATTGAAGAACTGAAGCAAAAAAAAAAGAAATGCTTGACTTGTGAGATTACAGGCATTTATGAACTTACTCTGAGTCAAGCAAGTATGGTTCTCTGTAATGTTTTTTAAAAGTACATGGATTCCCCAAAGAATGTCTCATAGCCACTTCTGAGGCTCTGGACCCAATGTCAGAACTGAGTGGTGTTTTCCGTATCCTGCAGTCGTAGATAAAAAAGGGGTCTGATCTTACAAAATCTCTGCATGTTAAAAAGATTCTGCAGTCTCCAAGGGTACAGTTGCCCAAGGACAGAGTCATTCTCAGAGCATTTTGAGATTTACGATACTTTTAATCTGGAGATGTTAAAAGGGGATGTTCAAATGAAAACATTTGCCAGCTGCACACAAGCTGTATAAAGGCCCTGGTGATTCTGAAAGGAGGGTCAATATCAGGAAGTCAGCTTGGGGTGTTTTCACTGCCACTCTTCTCAACCTGTCTCCACCACAATATTCTGCACTAATAGTAACGCAAGGAATTAGGAATGTCTTTTTGATGATCTAAGTAAATGCTTTGAAGGACGATGCATCCAAGGTTAAATTTCTACAGAGGGAGAGCGATATATAAAAGGGAGAAATATCATATCTGCCCTCACAGAGTGACTTTCTACTCCATACCTGTGTTCCGAGTACATAAAAGTAAATTTGCTTCCAGGTACTTAGTGTGTGAACATGAGTGGCTGTCTTGTTTTTTTAAACTGGGTGCCCAGACTGTCATGGCTCCCTCCTCCCCTTCTGTTGTGTTCCTAATGCAGTTAAGAAAGCCGAAGGATGGAAATGGAACAAATGCAGCAAATTGCATAAGGTGGAAAAGGACCTCTTTCTTGCAAGCAGGAGTTTGATATTCCTGTCTGCATCTGGACTTAGAAACTCCCAAAATAAATGAAATGAGCTCTTTGCCCGGAGAAGAGAATTGTTGGCTGCTACCTCCATGTATACATCTGTGTGTTTTGTATGAAACCTTCCTTTCCATAAATTGTTCTCTTTTCTGTGCTTCGCTATGGGAACAGTTTATAGCCTTTGCTTCTGTTGAGCAAGTGGGCTTCCCAGACAGCTTTTGTGTGATGTGCTGAGAAGCTGGCAACCCTTAAAACGGTCTCACTCTTTTTCAGTCTCAGACTCTTCCCCTTTCCTTGTTCCCTCCCCCCATTTTCCCTTCGGCTCTACTGACATTTACATGGATAGATGTGCTTGAAAGGAAAACAGCAGAGAGAGTTGAATGTCTGCCAAAGTCTCTGGCTGCCGCTGTCCCTTGTCTTTTTTCCCCAGATCTTTTTTTTTTAAAAAAATATATATTTTATTAGATTTATATGAATGAGGAAAAAATAGGAACAGTACAGGTAAGGGGAGGGAAGGGGATGGGGAATTGGGATGGGAAAAGGGTAGGTACAATAATCTCATGCTTTAACAAACAAGCTACCGTTTGGATCATGATAGTAAATAAACATGATTTATATCATACTCAACCATTTTAAAATAAGATTAACTGTAACCATATTCCTACTGATAAATAAACAGATAAAATTCATCTATGTGAATAAACGTAATTAATAAAGTCTCAACTAGTCATAATTGCCAACATTAACGGTTAAAAATCACTAAAAATAAAAATGTTATCAACCTAATAACTATAACTCAATTAAACATCCGTAACCCTAACCCTAACCCAGATCTTCAGTTGTGTACATTTATTTCTTTCCTCACTGTCTCTAGATTTCTTTGCTGCCTATATATATCACCAGGGATATCTTATACCCCTTCCTATAATAGTTGATTCAAAATATTACTCTTCTCCATGGCTTCCTTGCCTATTCTTTGGAATTACATGTATCCTAACTGTATCCTGGTAGCCTTCAATACACTTCCTTTTCTAAACGTGCTGGTCTTGATTTCACTTGTAAAACTGTTAGTTTATTATTCGGTAACTCCCTTAGGGATGACAGCTAGAGGAAAGCTTTACACTCTCAAAAATGTTCTTCTTACCCTCCGTTGTTGTGAGTCTTTCCCTATTTGTCCTTCAGAGTTGCTGATTTGTCGCTTAGCTAACCAGAATAAATGGAGAAAAGAGTCCAGGTGAAGTGAAATAAAAAAGTGAGATGGACAGCAGCAGTTTTGATTTGATCTTTTCCAAGAATTTTTCAATTCTGTTCAATTTTCGAAAAGAATTTTTCTTTTTTCTTTTGCAAAAGATAAATTTACGTATTGCTGTCTTTTCCCACTTGGTGGAACGGATCTGTTAGCGGTTAGAGTCCTTCCTTCCTGGCTGTACTATGATACATCAACTTGCATCTTTTAAACATTTCATTCTGATCTTCCTGCATATTTAGTTTGGTGAAATGCCCCTTAGGCATCAGATTTAACATCAACAAGAAGGGGAGAAGCTTAGTTTGAATCAAGCCTGATTCGTCTCACTATTTATTAGTATCTTTGTTAGAAATCCATCTATATTAGTTGGATGGGGTGAGTTGAGATCTTGGATGTCTCATAATTGAGAATGAGGAAAGGGGGGACATCTAGAATCAGCACACAGACAACTCAAGAATACTGTCCTAGTATTATATATTTGCAGAATCAACAATTGGACATGGTAATTTCATCTCTACTTTGCAGCTAATATTGCTTTTTTAGGATGTTTTTTTAGGAGTCGTCCTCCTTTTCAGATGACATTGTGATCAACCAGTTACACTGAGGCAAGATATATTGCTGATAATGTCAAGAAACCGATTGATATGGCTGATGTAAAGAGCTGTCTGCTCTTCCATCTGCTGGTGATACTCTGAATCATTTAGTTATTCAAAATCTTTGCTATCTCAGTCTCCACCCCAGCTCCAGATACCTGAGGCATGTTGAACAGTTTATTACTGCTGGATTACAGTTTGTATTTCTTCTACAATAGATGGTATTTATTAAAATGTGAGCTTTAGTGGATGTGAAGAAAGCCAGCTTGGGAAAGTTGGAGCTACTTTTATGACCTGACTTTTTCAATCTTTAGGCGGTTTTATGGGATGTTGAACTATCAAATTTTAGGAAAATAATCTTTGCAGCTAAATGTTAAATCGCTTCTTTTTTATAACAGTCATTATGCCATGCATTCCATTTGTACCATTCCATGGTACAAATATAGAGAGCTTTCATTTATTTTGAGCCCGATAAAAGAAAGCTCTTGGTCACATCTGGCAACTGGATAGCACAGGGGTCTTGAAACTTGGCCCTTTGATGACTTGTGGACTTCCAAATCCCAGAATTCCTCAGTCGGCCATTTTGATGAAATTGCGGGCTTGGATCCAGACCAGGGGTCTTCAAACTTGGCCCTTTGATGACTTGTGGACTTCAACTCCCAGAATTCCTCATCCAGGCACGCGTGCCTGGCTGAGGAATTCTGGGAGTTGAAGTCCACAAGTCATCAACGGGGCCAAGTTTGAAGACCCCTGGGATAGCATATACTGAATGTGGAAAGAGGGTGTGACCACTAATCACATTTGTCTCTCATTTTTTCCCCTACTTTTGTTTTAGTGACAATCTAGTGCAGAAAGTAGGACTGAGAACATAATTTGCCCAAGGCCCCACCTAGAGATCGGCTGCCTTCAATTCTTAGTTGCCATCTGTGGGTACTGTAATGATTCTTGACAGAAACGTTGACTTACTTTGTCTTCTCAAACTACTGACGTGAATCCTGGCTGGATTATGTGCGTCCAATGTTGGGCCAGCTTCTCCTTTGGACTTTCTCTACATGTTTGTTCCTGCCAGCGTTATTTGGACCTCGCTTCCTTTAACTCTTGTGTTCATTGTTAGGTACTGAGACTTTGAAAGTGAGAATCTAGTCCTAGACCCCAAGTTCTTTACATTTCTCACCTGATGGGAAAGTTGTGCTTCTTTACTGTGGTACCTTTATGCAATATTTTGCAAACATGCCAATTAATGGAAGCTTGTGTTCTCTCTCCCCCTCCCCACCCCACCCCCCCTTGCAGCCAGTTGCTGAACCAATCCCAATCTGCAGTTTCTGCCTTGGTACAAAAGAACAAAACCGAGAGAAGAAACCCGAGGAGCTCATCTCTTGTGCCGATTGCGGCAATAGCGGTAGGTGACATTCTACGTATTGGAGGCACCAACATGGGTTGGCGCATCTGAGATGATCCATTTGTTCATCTGGATGGAACCCCCCTGCGCTTGGCCTTTGTACTTCCTTCGGCCTGAATGCAAGTAAATATTTCTGAAGATAATGGGAATAATCACGTCTTCCTCGGACTGTCATAATGCTCTTATCTGCATTGACGGCTAGGTGATTCTGTGTCAGTTGCAGAAAAGGGCCTGATGTCAGCACTTGTTTAGCTGCATTAATTCCCAGCTCTTCAGGGATTTCCATTTGAGTTTCAGTGGAGATCGTGCACGAATCTATTCGTGTACGGTGTTTTAGACCAGGTGCTTGTCCATTGTCCGTGTTGTTCAGGGTCTACGAGTTCTAGTTGAGATAACGTAGCTATTTTTGTTCTACTAGAGGTCCTTGACATACGGCCATTCGTTCAGTGACGGCTTGAAGTTATCACGGCACTGAATGAATGATAGTTGTGACCGGTCCTCATAGTTCCTTCCATCTCAGCATTCTCACAGTCCTATGATAGTGATCGGGGTGCTTGTGAATCAGCTCACACTTTAGGACTGGTTGCGGTTCTGTGATCACATGAACACTATTTGCAAGTTTTCCCTGCCAGCTTCTCCAAAAAGTCAGCCGGGAAGCTGGCAGGGAAAGATTGCAAGTTGCTGGGATAAATCATCTCCACCCACACAACCTCTTCTGGCCCTCTGCTTGTGCTGGGCTGGCCATTGACACGCCCCAGGCACCCTCCATAACCCACCTCTCAAGTGCCCTCCCTCACATCCTGCCAACGTGTGCCTCTCACACCCTTGTTCTCTCCTCCTCTCCCCCCCCCCTTGCCCAGCAGCAGCCACTTAGCTTCACCTTCCTGCCAGCTTTCACTCTGACTTTGGCTTCACACCTCACCCAGCAACTGGGAGATTCAATTAGCAGTGACAACTGGGACTGCAGAGATTGCCATCACTAAATGATATGGTCAAGTCATATGATTGTGTTGCTTAGCAACAAATTCTGCTCCTAGTTGTTGATGTAAATCAAGGACTAGGAGAAAAAAAAAAAGGTAAAGGTTTCACCTGTCCAGTCACGTCCAACTTTAGGGGTGGTGCTCGTCTCCATTTCCTAGCTGAGGAAGCCAGTGTTGTCCGAATACGTTTCTGTGGCCATGTGACCAGTATGATTATATACCAAGGCTGTTGGCACTGTTACCTTCCCACCAAAGTAGTAGTACTTATTTATCTATTTGAATTTGCTTTTGGACTCCTATTTATGACAGCTGCATCGTCCTGAGGTCATGGGATCATCCTTTTTTTGACAAGCAAAGTCAATGGGGAAGCCAGGTTCACTTTACAGCCTTGTTACTAACTTAACAACTGTAATGATTTACTCAACAACTGTTGCAAGAAAGGTCAAAACTGATGACAAATCGTTCTATGAGGAGCAGTATTTTTAGTGCCAGATGGCGTTTCTTTGTCCCAAAATGCTACGCAGATGAAAATAGAGATAAATTTAACAAGTGTTGTATGAATGGCACTTTGAAATCATGTGTAAGTCACAGACACGTTGAAGTCATTTGGGTTCAGCTATTCACAAAAATCTTTTAGAACTCAAATTTTCCTCACAAAATTGAAATAAAAGTTGTTGGGCAAGAAACCATTTCCTTGCGAAAGCACAGCCTGTGTGAATTAACGCAAAGTGCTGAGAATGTGTTGAACACTTTTGACCAACTAGGAGTCTTCTCCGGAAGTCAAGAGTGAACTGCATTAGATCCGTAGCCTTCCTTTTACTAAATATTGCTGTTTTTCCTTTGCATCGTGGAATTCTCTCGCATCCTTGGTACCTACAGGTCATCCATCCTGCTTGAAGTTCTCCCCAGAATTAACCGTTCGGGTGAAGGCCTTACGATGGCAGTGCATTGAGTGCAAAACCTGCAGTTCCTGTCGAGACCAGGGCAAAAATGCCGTGAGTATCTGAGCTGAAGGTTTACCTGGAAGTTATATCCGATGATCTTGGCCTGGATAAAACCTGGACTAATCTCCTTTACAGAATTCATCTGATTTGCACCTGCCCTCTGTGATTTGATTTAGCAACAATCACACGCACACCTTTGTAACATCCACGTTAGAGCACTTTAAAGATACTCTGGGGCTATTTGGAAACTAGAGCCGACCCAAGGTGTGGTGGGAGTCCAGCTGGAGCTTACTGCAGGAAACAGTTGTCACAATTATGTTACTCCCAGCATGTTTCTGGGCAGAACTACTATATCCCCTGTGGGGCTGGCCATTTTCTGAAATCATCAAATGCGAGTGCTGCTTTTGTGTCGTTCTGCAGCTAACGTTAGATAGGCTAGTTTGCACGAGAGCATTTTTGTGGCCCTCGTATTTTTTCCCAAGTGATCCTTTTTACCTTTCCTTTCTAACGTGCACAGTGGAGAAGCCTGGCTGATTTTGGCTGATTTTGCCTATTGATGTTTATTTATGTAAACATTATTTAAGATATATATATATATATATATATATATATATATATATATATATATAAAATAAATAGCGTTAACAAACTATTCTGCACGCTTGTTAGTTTAATATGTTACTTGTCACAATTGTGACAAAATTATTTCAAAGTTAACGGAATGCATATTGTTTCCAACATTGTGACAATTTAATCAGTAACAGAATGATAATAAATCAGTAAACCAATCAAACTGGAATGTGAACAAGAAGGACTTCTAATTTGCAGCTACTACAGACGGAAGTCAGCTCTGAATGAAAAAATGACAAAGCCAGTTCTATATGGGGGGGGGCTGTCTTGTTCAGTGTGGATTTTCATAAGGTTTCATACAGAAGGTGGCCTTTGTGATTATACGAGCAAGGCATATGAAATAAGTTATTTATTCGTGTGGGGGGAGAGTAATTATGAAGAAGTCACTCTCTAAATTTATTAATTGAGCCAGTTTGGTCTAATGGTTAAGGCACTACTAGCCTGGGAAATGCAGACCATGAGTTCAAATCCCACTTTAGGAATGGGTGACTTTGGACCAGTTACTCTCGCTCAGTCCACCCCACCCCACAGAGTTGTTGTTGTAGAGAAAATAGGAAGTGGAAAATGTGTTGGGTATGTTTGCCTCCTTGAGTTAGTTATTTGTAAAAATAATAAATGTATTGGGATGAAAATAAAATAAATAAATTGGTTACAGTGGGTAGATTTATATCCTGCCCTTCCTCTAAGAGTGCAAGGTACCATGATCCACCACCAGTTTTATCCCCCAAACAGCCCTGTGAATAGTTAGACCAGTGGTTCTCAATCTTTACTTCACGGACCCATTTAAATACCTTTTGTGGCCACGGACTCCCAAGACGTAACTCAAGATTAAAATCACAACATTTCTTCAAGCCTTTGTGGACCTCTTGTGATGACATTGCGGGTCCCCAGGGGTCCACGGACCACAGCTTGAGAACCATTGTGTTAGACCAGGGGTAGTCAACTTTGGCTCTTTTATGACTTGTGGGCTTCAACACCCAGAATTCCTGAGCCAGCATGGTTCAGCTGGGAAACCTCCCCCTTTCCCCTCAGCATGGCTGGCTCAGGAATTCTGGGAGTTGAAGTCCACGAGTCATAAAAGAGCCAAGGTTGCCTGCCCCTGGGGTTAGACTGAGAGAAGGTAACTGATCCAAAGTTATCTAATGAATTTTTGTGTCTGGAAATGGATTTGAAGTTGCTCTAACCACTGTATTCACAATGGCTCCCTTAGCTATTCTGAACCACGGCCAAAAGCTTTGGTGACACCCTGGGGGTAACTCTTTGAGTGTGCACATACAAGACATTAACCAGAAACCTCTGTGCTTTACAGGATAATATGTTATTTTGCGACTCATGTGATCGGGGCTTTCATATGGAGTGTTGTGATCCCCCTTTGACCAGGATGCCAAAAGGTAAGGGGGGGGGGCTGAAAATGCTACAAAACAGGGGGTAAATTTTCTCAGATTACATGGAAAATCTTTAACACACGGGATATAACTGATCGGCAGAACAATTTACACATTTGAGCTTCAGGGGGGCAATAAAAGAAACTGCTTTACGATAAAGTTGCTAAGAAAATGAACGGCAAGACTAGATTTTCTTCCCTGCTTTTAATATACGTGTGAAGCTGCTGGGAGATGTTCAGTGGTTCAAGGTGTGGTATCATCTCTATCCCTGTCTGGTTCCTATGGATTGCCAGGATTTGGACGGGAGAGAGCAGGCTGTACCCAAACCATAGTAAAACCTGAGTTGTTGTGGATACACTGGAGTTTTCCATTATCACCTCAAGCATTCCCTGTCAAGGAGCAGTTTCATGATGTGGGAATCCTTCTGGATTCACAGCTCATGATGGAACAGCAGGTGGACGTCATAGCTAGAAGGTTCCCAACTTCAGCTGGTGCTTCAGTTGGAACCCTACTTCAGGCACAAGAACCTAGCCTCAGTAATCCTCATGCTTATCGCAAACTAGCTAGACTTCCATAATGTGCTCTATTTGTGGCTGACCTTAAAAACTACCCCAACGTTACAATTGATCCAAAATGCACCAGCTTGCATATTTTTTTGCCTTCTGTTGTTGGAAGTATATAACACTGCTTTGTCAACCCTGCATTGGATGCCAAATTGGTTCCCAGGTACAGTTTAAGGTGCTGCTTTTAACCTTGCCGACTCTAACGAGCATTGGCCTAATGGATCAGATCAAATAGGGAGACTCTATTACTAACTCTTCACTTTCAGAAGATCCAGGACGCTAAAGGGAGGAGGCCCTGCTGTGTGGCAGCAGCACTGATGCTGTGGAACAGCCTCACAGTTGAGATCAGGCTGCCTTCCCCTCACGGAGAAAGCATTTAAAAACTGAGTTTTCTAGGAAACTCGTTATCACTGATTTTAGTATGCCATCTTCATTTTCTACATTTATTCTTGGTAGTTTTCTCTTTGGGTGGTGATGTTTTTACTGTTTTTATCATTGTTATCCTGTCACGTTTTACTGCTCTTTTATATTCTGTGTGAGAATGTCTGGATAGAAGATAGAAATGTGGAACACAAACAAGGAAGCGTGGTGCTCTGCCTTTGGCAGATACTGGCATGACAACGAGGTTTATATCTTACAGGCATGTGGATATGTCAGATATGTCGGCCACGTAAAAAAGGAAGAAAACTACTCCAAAAGAAGGCAGCACAGATTAAGCGGCGTTATGCCAACCCAATCGGTCGCCCCAAAAACAGATTAAAGAACCAAAATGCAACGTAAGTACTTTGCTGGCTGAGGAATTCTGGGAGTTGAAGCCCACGAGTCTTAAAGTTGCCAAGGTTGAGGACCCCTGATGTAAAAGATAAAGATTCATTCAGGGATGCGCAAAACTAGAGACATGTCACTGTTCCAAAATACACGCAGAATATTGCACACCGATTCTTATTCTGGAAGATTGACTTCTGGAAAAGAGAACAGCTGGATTGGGACTTTCTAGGAAATACTGGGATATTCTACCCTTGAATGTTTAGCTTTGTCCACAACTAAAACAAATGTTTCAGAAGCCTTTTTATAGATCCTAAGGTTCTTGCTCAGAAAAACATTTTAACATTTTACTCAGTCATTGCTGACTATAGGGGGCAATGCTCTTCTCCATTTCTTGCTCATACACACACATTTTTAACATTTTGCAAAAAAAAAAAAAAGATGTGCAACATTTGCAGCGGTTGTTGTATATTATGCTTATGCAAAAGAGCCAGGTGCCATGTTGCACTGTAACATGGAAGTACTTTCTGCGCTGAATTATCGACCCTAGTTGGATTTTATTCCGGTAAACTTGCAGGGATTATAAAGTATAATTCTCAGCCCAGACAGAAAATTTGAAAATATACACTGTGAGTCAAATGCCGTCTGCACGATGGTTTGACATTTTGCGGTCGTCTTTCCGATATTTAATACCCTCTCTTTTCGTCTCCCAATTATTTGTTCAGATCAAAAGCCCCCTTCAGCAAAGTTCAGACGGGACCTGGTCGAGGTCGCAAGCGTAAGACCCCCCTATCCAGCCAGTCCACTTGCTCGTCAGAAGGGGGCTACCTGGAGCAAGTCGATGGTCTGGAATTCTGCGGAGATGCGAGCATCACCTTGAAATTCAACAAGAAAACCAAAGGGCTTATTGATGGCCTTACCAAATTTTTCACCCCGTCCCCTGATGGGCGTAAAGCTCGAGGAGAAGTAGTGGACTACTCTCAGCAATATAGGATCAGGAGAAAGGACAATAGGAAATTAAGCACTTCGGATTGGCCCACAGGTAGCAACAGATATTGACTCTGTGTTTTATGGAACTCAGAGATTATCAGAGTGAACTGCTGTAAAGAAACTAGGTTTAAAAACTATCCATTAGAAATAATCCGTTGTATTATCGTAGGAAGACCAGAGCAAATAATTATCTTCATTTATTGCTGCAATTTATTGTTTTAGTCAATAATACTCTAAAGGGCATCTGGGTAATAGAATCACAGAGTTGGAAGGGACCTTGGAGGTCACCTAGTCCAACCCCCTGCTCAGGCAGGAAACCCTATTCCATTTCAGACAAATAGCTGTCCAGTTGTCCAGTGTAAAAAATTCCAGTGTTGGAGCATCCACAATTTCTGGAGGCAAGCTGTTCTACTGATTAATTGTTGTAACTGTCAGGAAATTTCTCCTTAGTTCTAGGTTGAGGTCAGGCTGATAGGTCTGTAGTTTCCTGGATCTACTTCCCCCCCCCACTTTTTTTTTTTTTTTTTTGAAGATGGGAACAACACCAGCTCTTTTCCAATCCTTTGGTAGTTCCCTGGTGCTCCAGGATCTCTGAAAGATATAGTTCAGTGGTTCTGAGATTACATAGGACAGTTACTTCAGAACCTTGGGGTGTAATCCCTCTGGTCCTGGTGATTTGAACTCACCCAGGGTGAACAGGTGCCTCTCTTGACATCGGAAACTGGTTGAAATTACCCTGTCTGTTAAATAGAGGCTTTGTCATAAATGAAGAGAGATGGTAGAGGAGTGTTTTGAGGAAGGAATTTGGGTGGGTTAGAAGAAAGAAAAGCACTCTCATTTCTCAAAGATTTTTCTTCTCTGCCAAAATTAAGGTGGGATATGATTGTCTTGTTAGAAGGCAAGGAAAGGCACAGATGTCATTTTTCTTAATGAGAAATTGCTTTGCTTGCTGTTTAAAGTGTTGATAATTCATCAAGGCGTTCTAAATGTTCTCTTTTCAGACAATCAGGATGGCTGGGATGGAAAACAGGAAAATGAAGAGTGGCTTCTAGGAGGCCCAGATGTCATGGCAGAGAAAGATATGGAGTTGTTCAGAGACATTCAGGAGCAAGCACTGCAGGTAAAGTCAAATCAACTTCCATCCGATGTGTTAACAGTCACAGAAACTCACCAAGAAAGAAGACTTCACTGGAAACTGAAGATCATTTACACAAGATTTTCTGAGTATCAGACCACCAACGCACAATTTATTAATTGTGATTTTGATGCAAGAAGGCAGCGTTCCGGGGAAAGCTTGGGAGACACTATGGCATGGCTCAGAAGCATGAGCCCGAGGATGCAACCACGTGCTGCTTTAGGAGGATCTAGCTTGTGAACCTTCCATGCAAATGCAAAATAATAGTTTCGATTGTTGCAGAATTAATATAGAATTACTATTATGGGGTTGAGTACATTTTAACTGGGCATTTCCTTGTGGCTTCTCTTTTTGTCATGGACAGTTAGTTGTGTGGGAGCTCCCTTGAGCTTCTCATACAGTTTGCTTGCTTAATTCAGTAAAATGTTTGGCCGTCTCTAAAATGTTTCATGTTTTTGTAACACTTGTTCAACAGCCAGACATTATCCTGTTTTAGTGACGGCAGGATAGATCACATTGGAAAACGAGAGAGGGAGAAATTGGGGCTGCAGTTACAAGTGAAGTTGGGGAAAAGGTCTAAAAGCTGTAGTGGCACAGTAATTAATATGCAATATTGCAGGCTAACTCTGCTTACTGCCATGAGTTCGATCCTAACCAGCTCAAGGTTGACTCAGCCTTCCATCCTTCTGCAGGCGGTCAAATGAGGACCCAGATTGTTGGGGGGCAAAATGCTGTAAACCTCTTAGAGAGTGCGGTAAAGCACTATGAAGCAGTATATAAGTCTTAAGTGCTATGGCTTTATTTGGAACTAACACAAAGATGAAAAGGCATTTAAACTTTCCAAGTATGGAAACTCAGACGAACCGGTCAAACTTGGACTTCTCTCAACTTTACTAGCCAAAGAGATGCAAGATGTAACATGTATTTCTGTTAATGTATGATGTCTTCAAGCCTTTGAAACAAATTGTTTTAGCACGTGTAGCAAGATAGAAATGTGTGGAACACTCATACTAAGAAAGCGTTTGTGTTTTACAGTCTGTAGGAAACATTAGGTCTGTTGCTTCATGCTACGACTTTGCTAATTGGTTTGTTTTGGCAAGGATTGGGTTAAACGTAGATGAGGAGCTGACGCAGTCCGTCTCTAGGTAGACCCAAGGGCCGCACCTGAGCAAAAGGGAATTCACTCGGTGAAAATGCAAGGATGGCTTGCTGAGTTATTGGGGAATTTGTCGGATGAGAATAAACTAAAACAGTGTGTGTAGCCAGTTTGGATATTGGCAGCTTTTGATGGAACTTGGGTCATGTGAAGGGGAATTTGGGCTGTTGTGATGTGCAAACAGTTGTATTGGAACTGGGACTTCACCTTTATTGCGGATGCTCAATTGGAGAAGAGTTTTGCGGCTGTTGGGAAGGCGCAAACTCACAAGCTGTTATCACAGGTACAGTGAGTGGCATTCCTACTTGCAGCATATCTGTGTATGGTTAAAGAAATTACAGAAATAGAATATTTGCAGTTCCCTTAGTGGATTATAGATTGATAGTCATTCTCATTGTTAAAAACAATGACATATTCTCCATCCCTATTAGGAAAGAAATGGCGATTGATTCAGTAGGGCGTGTTCTTGCAGGATGTCATTCCACCAATTGGTTTATTTGTTAGAGCATTTGGACTTGAGCAATTAATTTAATTTGTAGAATTATACTTTTTTTTCAGCCTAACCCTCCCCTCCCCAACAATAAAAAGACTTTCTTAAATTGCAATGAAAACACATTGTCTAGTTTGATTTTGCTCTAACTCCTTAGATAAAGCAGTCAATCCCTCAGGCTTGATACTCTTCTTTTTGTAAGAGAGTTCTGGCAAAGAGATAACATTTGGAGAAACTGAATTTCCTCTTGTGTGCAGTACAATACAGTGGCAGAAAGCTTTTGTTGTGCAGTGTTGTGAATAGGTCTGACAGGTTGTAGTCTAGTATATCGGGTAGGTGTGAAGGCAAGGCAAGGTTTTGCAGAGGCTGTGTTAAACTTATTGCTACTTTGAAATGTGAAATGAAAGGGAGGGCAAATAAGGCACACCTATAAATTCTCTTGGAAAAATGGCTTGGCCCTGAGCTTGGTATGGGAATATACAGATTGCTTGTTGGTTAAGATCAAAGGTTTACCCACTGCAGCATCCTTTTTAACACTTGTCAGCCAGAGGTCTCTAGCAGGTTTGTGAACATGGCGTGATGGTAGCAACTAGCCATTTCTTGTTTTATCCTCAGTATGTGGTGATCAGACACGCTGATCCTAAATACAGAAATTGTGTTTAGCTGTTAAAGCCCACCCTTATCTTGCATAAAATATAATGCACACCTAAATTATAATGTCCATTAAATCCAAAGTTTCATGTGCTGGGTTCTGAAAATATCTCAGTTTAATGAACCAGCGTTTCCTAGACTTCAACTGAATGTTGTGATCTCTTCACTCCTGCTTTATAATGGCGGATTTGTAGGACATTAACCAGCATCACGTCACATCCAACCCTGGAAATTTAATTTAATCTTGGGACTACAAATTTGGATAGGAAACTAGAGAGCAAGAAAAGAGTAAACAAGCTAACTTATTGTTCTCTGTTTATAGGTATTTTTAAAGATTATAGAACTATTTTTACACCATCAAAATGATTATTTGGAAGGAGATCGGCTCCAGTGCTGTAAAATTAGATCATTGTTATTCTAAACCCGAAAATATTTTTAATGGTCTTCTAAAGGAACCCTGCAAACTCTAGCTTAAAGGATGGTTAAATCGTTGGTTGAAGGGCAGTCTTAAACCTTTGGGGACGTAGTCATTGTGACTTAAGCTAAAGAGAAAATAATTTACGGGACTGAAGTAAGAAAAGTAGAGGGGAATACACGAGCCCGCAAGATTTGCCTGCCTAATTAAAATGCTAAACAAGGATTTGGCGTGACACTGTGATTCGGTTCAGCGCACGAGGATGGGAAAAATCATGTAGGCCCAACCCATCTTCTTTTATCTAAACGTTTCAACATGTTCCTGTAATTCCCTAGAAAAGGGAACATAAAGGAAAAATAAACAAGAAATGGCTTTACGGTGGAGTTTCAGTTCTGCCTAAGCCGAACTAATTAATGGCTACTGAGGAAGCATCTGTGCTCGGCTGAAAAAAAATTGAGCGGGCGCAGAGGGAAATAAGGCAAGAGCTGGACCTTCTGGGCTGTCATGTGGCAAAAAGTGCCACCCTTGGAGCTCAGATATGAATACACAATGCTGATAGCAAGACACCTTAGTATTTAAGAAGAAGCAGCTGGAGTAATAGGAAGGGGGGGAACCCTGTCACTAGGAAAAGCTGTAAAACATTTATAGTCTTTATTGTTTAAAGTTCTCAGTGCCTGGTGGAAACTAAACAGGAAAGGATTAAAAGAGCCTAATTGGCATTTTCCCTTCACCTTTCTGCCTCTGCATGTTAGGGCAATTTGCAAGGTATTACCATCCCTTAGAACAGCTCCTTGAGAGAAAAGGGGTTAGGTAGAGAGGAGAAAGAAAGGATTTCTCTGTTTTGCAGAGAAGTAAAACTATGAGTAACCATTAAGTCTGAAATTATGCTGATCACTTGAAAGGCAGAGACGTGAGCCCCCCCCCCAGAGCACTTAAACTTTTATGACCTCGAGTCTTCCTGCAGAAACACACACACACACACCCATTTTCTTTTTCAAATGAAGGTGCTTCCTTTGCCCTTGTCCCTAAGATTCTTGGAGTTCCCAACTTTATTTTTACTGTCACAAATAGTGTGTGTAGAGATTGTTTTCTTTTGTCCTTGTTTTAAAGTTGTATTTATAATGCTGATTTCTCCCCCCTCCCATATTTGCAAATAAAGAATTTATAACATTGCCCTTAGAGGCCTGAACTCAACTGATAGCTCTTAAATTGCATTCAGTATGCTCTGTCAATTCGCTCTTAGATTTATGCTGTTTATTATAGATGCTGTTGGTATATACTTTTCCTTCTTCACTTTATCCACCTCAAACTGCAAAGTGGGTGGCATACAAATTTAACACACACACACAGAGAGAGAGAGAGAGAGAGAGAGAGAGAGAGAGAGAGAGAGAGAGTGTTCCAGGGCATTTATTTCCTTAGAATAATAAGGGGAATTTAGTTTCCTTTATGATCTGGGCCATTGCAGTAAAAAGATTTCTAGAAATATTAAGTATGACTGGGATAGCCTTTCTCCTATGTAATTTTTTATTTTCTCCGTTTTTGGGGGGCATTGGTGGAAATTGATGTTCAGGTACACCTGTTGCTTTTTTATTAGATTCCCAGACCCATGGAGTAAAGTTGAGTGTTTTTTTTTCTTTTACAGAAAGTAGGAGTGACAGGGGCACATGACCCCCAAGTCCGCTGTCCATCAGTCATTGAGTTTGGAAAATATGAAATCCACACCTGGTATTCTTCTCCATATCCACAAGAATACTCCAGGTATGAAGCACCTTTTATGATGTGCAGCGTGTTGTCCGCTGGAACTTTTTGCCATTACTGGAAATGAAACAGCGAGTATAACAGATTTATCCTGATACACTCATATTTTAAGCTCTCGCCTTCCCATAAAAACAGACTGGCATGTCAGATGGAGAAAGGAAATAGTAATCAGCAGTGTAATAAGCTTATAAGTAAAGATGCAGATAAAATGCTGGAGGGTAAAGTAAAGAATATGTTTGCTTATTTTACAACAATTGGTTTCCTAAATTCATTTACAAATGAGCTTTGAATAATTTTAATAGCAGCTTTTATATGAGAGGGTGAAGAAGTATATTTGAGTGTGGAGACTGGTGTACAGTTAAATTACTGGGGTTTGGAATTTCTAATATTGAGGCTCTGGTTACTTTCCTGTAACCCTTTTGTACTGTTCACTTTTGAGCTTGGAAAATATATTCCCTGCTTTATCTGGTTCTACTTCTTACTAATGGATATATTATACCAGAAGTCAACTTAAGCAGCCTTTTGCTTAGGCTTCTATAGGTCTCCCTCTGCTTTGTGTCTCTTTGTCCAATGAATATTTACTTAAAAGAAAACACTTTCTTGGTCTTGTCATTTGTTGTAAGGATGAGAACTGCAAAGATTATATTATTTTGCTCTTTGAAAGTTGCCTTTTTCCTTTAGCCCTGAGTGGGTATTAACCAGTTTATATTTTTCAGGTTGCCCAAGTTGTATATTTGTGAATTCTGTCTCAAATACATGAAAAGCAGAACTATTCTCCAGCAGCACATGAAGAAATGTGGTTGGTTTCATCCCCCAGCCAATGAAATTTACAGAAAGAATAATGTTTCGGTTTTCGAGGTAAATTTCAACAGCTCTTAACTGCTGTTTGTCCCAATAAAAGGCGAAACAGGTGGTGCAGTTCATTCTGAACCAAGGAATAGGAACTGGCTCCAGAATACAGAAATATAATTTGAACAGTCTTTAAGAATGTCAACAACTTTAGTGAAGATACAGTGGCTGAGGAATTGGTTAATGCTTACATGTTACTACTTCTCTGCTGTAAATTTCTGCCTTTTAAATTGGCTTTTTCAATACCAGTTCTGTTTCACAATTTAGGTGTAGTGCATCGCTGTTTTAGTGACTCTTTAAATTAGGTTATAAATTCTTGGCCATATAAACAAATCTAAGTGGTTGCTAAGCTAAAGGATATGGGCTGCCTTGGGGGCCAAAGGTCAGAGTTGTGATGTTTCCCAACTGCTCTCTTTCTCTGAATGATTTCAAAAATGGATGCTTGCTCCAATACTATTTGGCCAGAGTATAGTATTTCATTGTGGTTTTCTGATGGAAACAACAAATTAATCTACTTTTCTTTTAAGGTGGATGGCAACGTCAGTACTATTTACTGCCAGAACTTATGTCTCTTGGCCAAACTCTTCCTGGACCATAAGACTCTCTATTACGATGTGGAGCCATTTCTTTTTTATGTGCTGACGCAAAACGATGTGAAGGGCTGTCACCTGGTTGGCTACTTCTCCAAGGTGAGGGTTCAGATGTAGAAACCTAGGTTTTGATTTGCAGGAATCGTTGCAGGAAGCCTTCATGGGTGTGTGTGTGTGTGTGTGTGTGTCCTTCTAAGTCACCAAGAAATGAACTCAATTTGAAGGTGACTTTAGTTTCATTTTGTAATGCTGGGCATCGGTTCTTTTTTGACCACTCAACAGAAGGAAATAGCTTCTGTACTGTAAAAACTGCTATAAAATTCGTGGGAAGGAATGTGAAATTTGGAAACCCGCTGAAATTATGCTAGTGATGTATATTATCTGTACATTTACGTTTTTATATGCCTTGTGTTTTTGCTAGTTTTTAAGGATAGCAAATGCCGTATTCAGCCTCAGATCCCATGCTTTCCTCCCCTCCCCCAACACCACTTCTAAAACTCTGCAATCACGAGATACGATTTGCGCAAGAAGATAATTAATTTTTCTTTATATCTGCTTTTTGTCTTTTGCCATTGTATTAAGCCTCCTGTGCTGCATCTGTATCTCTGGAAATTACCTTTGAAAATAGTCTAAACTGCATTCCAGTGGCTAGAATTGGGCTGGCGTTTTCAGTTTAACCATATGAATTCAAAAGCCAGTTCAAAGCGATTCTGCAGTGTCTGCTGGATTTTAACTACATCAGGGACTTCTGAAGTAGTGGGCGCCCTTCTCCGTACCCCTTTTAAGACTCTGTCTAGACAAATCCAGGGAATTGAAGCAGTTAACGTGGCTGGCTTTCTCTTCATCCTGTCAAACAGAGTGTATCCTCCCAGGAGCGTGAATTCCAGCTTAGCGGTTCTAAAGGGAGGTTTTAAATTACTTCCTCATCCCTTGGGTAGCGAAGAGTACAGCAGCTAGTTGGTGAAGTAAACATTCATTGTTAATGCGCCACCAAGCCCGCTGCTCCTCAGATCAGATGCTGATCTCATTGCAAAGCTTTTGTTTGCACGCTGGAAAAGACTCGATTGAGGCCGAACATGGCTTTTGTGCTCTTCCTGCATCGATGGGGTGCAAACTTTAGTTTAAGGCTTGCCTTTGCATTCTTTTCCCCACTCCTCCAGCCTCCATTCCCATGCAGAAGCTCTTCTGCTTGGAGAAGAAGAAGAAGAAGAAGAAGAAGAAGAAGTGTGTGTGTGTGTGTGTGTGTGTGTGTGTGTATGTGTGTGTGTGTGTGTGTAAAGGGGAGGAAGCAATCATGCTATCTAATTGAGCTAGTCTGCCTACTAGAATGGAGTGTGCTTGCTGGATTGTGGTTCTGCCGAAAGGCCCTAAATTCTCTGTTTCCTTGGGAGGCGTTGCAGATTTTACATTTCTGCTCTGAAAGACAGGGAAAAGCGTGTGTGTGTGTGTGTGTGTGTGTGTGTGTGTGTGTGTGTGAGAGAGAGAGAGAGAGAGAGATTTTCAGTGAATCCTTGAAGTTATTCAGTTAGTAACACCCGTTGTTCAGTGAATCTGGCCACCCTTTGACTTTGCCTGTCAGAAGGTCGCAAATTTGAATTCTGCTCACGCAACTGTGGGGATGCTGCAACGGCCATTTGAAAAACAGCCATATGGTCGAGGACTACCCTGTATTCATTTTCATAGCTTTTATTGAACGTCTTCATAACATTCATTCTTCCCTACAGACACCTGGGTATTTTCATCCAGTTGTTAACATCTCCATTTGTCTGCTCCGTGGCTTGAGACAGTCACGTCCACCAAAAGAGATATTTTCCTAGTCGTCAATTCTCTTGGGTATATCACAGAATCCGAACAATAAACATTTCCCAGATTTTCTTCCCCATCTTAAGGGGGGAGGGGAGCCTTTCTGTTTTAGAAAGTTCCAAAGGAAGCAAGACCCTTGGGGACAGACCTCACAGACCCAGAGTCACTTGGAATAAACATGGCTGGATTTCAGGAACCAAACCATGCCACACTCAGTCATCTCTCTCTCTCTCTCCCCCCCCCCTCCCAAATAATTAGAGGCTTGCTGTTGTTCTTCCATCAGAGACATGTTTTTCATCTGATTTTTCTCTGACTCCCCGATGGAATTACAGCTGTGTCTTTGGCTGGAATATTCCCTCTGTATTAATTATTATCCCAAAGAACTCCTCTTCCATGTCACAAAGCCGTGCTTTTAATAACTAGATTCTTTTTTCCCCTCTTCTCTCTTTTTCTAGGAGAAGCACTGCCAGCAGAAATACAATGTGTCCTGTATCATGATTCTTCCCCAGTACCAGCGCAAGGGCTACGGCAGATTCCTCATTGACTTTAGTAAGCCCCTTCTTAATATTTTTCTGGGTTGTTTTTTTTTTTTTTATGTTCCCTTCCTCTAACTTGGCTTTGTCGTTTATGGAGTGTACAATTCTCCTGCGATTGATTTGGTTGGATGTGACTCTTTATCTGAATTGGCTCTATTTTGGAATTCCAGAAAACCTTTTTTTCTCAACTGTTTTCTGTGAAAGTAAATGCTTTATTTATCATGTGTGTCTTATATCACCATCTTCCTCCCCCCCCCGTGTTGCATGTCCCATTTTTTCCCCCTGTTGCATGTCCATTCAGCAGTCTTAAGTTAACCGTCTTCCTACTTTAGATCTGAATCCTGTTTTTATCCAGACACCTATTTCGGTAAATTGTTGCTAATTTACATCATACTTATATAATAGTGGGGTGGCCCAGTGGCCCAGCGGTTAAGATGCAGAGCTTGTTGTCACTTACGTTTGGATTAATCCGTTTTGAAAAGGAAGAACCGGTGGAAATTGTGTGATTCTGCCTTAGAACCATCGCTTATAGAGCAAAGAGGTGAATTTAGAGTCATAAACTACTGCTGTACATAGGAAAAATAAATGTGTGCTTCTGTACCAATCTGAAAGTTCAAACCGTGCTGGAGAAGTGACCTCAGCTTTATTTGAGAAAAAAGACGTATGTTGGGTTTGTGGGTTTTTTTTTAGTTGATCTCAGAGACCAGAAAATCTGATACATGCGGATTGTTTTAATTTTTGAAAAAAAGTCTCCTGATTTGTGCACGGAAGCAAGTTAGTACCAAATCCAGTTGGATAGTAAAAGTACCTTGCCTGGCCGTGATGGCAATGATGGGCGATATAAAGCCATGCGATGCTTTCTGGGGAGGAAGAAAAGTCCCTTTTCAAAGGCGAACTAAGTACCCGTTAACTCATTTTTTCCCCATCTTTAAATGGGAAAGTGCTCATTTGTGCAGACAGCTTCCTGTGTCGTGGAAAGTGAGCTGCACATGATGTGCCCTAAAGGGATGCTGACATTTCCGCGCTCATTATCTGAAACGAACTCTATGCACTGATAACGATTTCTAGCTGGAGTTCCAGGTGTTTTTTTTTTTTTTAACCTTCTTTAAGTAATTGCTTGTTTACTATCTTGTTGCTGTCTGGTGTATTTGAAAAGCTCAGTGATCACTCATGAATCACAGGACTTCAAATAAGTCTCTGAATTGACTTTATTATCAGCTTGCTCACAGTAAAGTGTGCCTTGAAGGCCGGGAGGAAAACCCTCTCAATTATGAAGAGCTGCTTTGTGTTAAATGTAGAAAGTTGACCTCAGGATAGGAGGAAGCAGCTGGAATTTAATTTTTATAAAGCCTGGGCGTGTAATGAGTGATGCTTCCCTGACTTGAAGGTGAAGAATCATTCTAATTGCTTCATTGATTGGATCAATTCTTTTTTTTAAAAGTTTTTTATTTACAATACAATTAAAAAAGAAAACATTGGACATGACGTAACATTCTAGTATAAACATTTCTGTCAAATTATTTCTCTTCTTACATTTAGTTCTTTATCTCTATAGATACACATGGTTTTTTTTATACAATACTTAATTCATTTCTCTATTTGCTAGCCTAAGATTATATACATTTCCATATTAACGCTAATCTATAACCCCAACAATCCTCCTCGACTCCCAGCAATAATAAAATTTGTCCCAGATTTCAAAGTATTCAGAGATTGGATCAATTCTTGATCGTGTGAGGCCTTGGCACTACCAATATGCAGGTAGTTCTCAACTTACAACCACCATTGAGCCCAAAATTTCTGTTGCTAAGTGAGACGTATGCTAACTGAATTTAGCCTACAGGGAATACTGCTTTCTCTCAGTTGGTCAGTGCGTACAAAAGAGAGACATTTGAGAAAAAAGAAGAGAAAGTAGCCTTTACTAATACGTATTAGATTTTTATTCCATCTTTTGAACAGGAGCTGAAGGCAAGCTACCTGAGACAAATGTTCATAAGAACCAGAGTAATAGCTTCTTAGTCATAACAATGGGATTGTTTTATGATTTTTTTTCTCTCCCCACACAGAGGTGTCACTAGTGGTCTTTCAGGGGCCCTTCGATACTCCCAACTCTGGGTAAACTTAGAAGAGTGTGGTTGTGTGTACCAAATCCAATCCTGAGCACTTTCTCTTTTCTCTTAGGTTATCTCCTATCAAAACGTGAAGGCCAGGCGGGATCCCCGGAGAAGCCACTGTCTGATTTGGGTCGTCTTTCCTACATGGCATACTGGAAAAGCGTCATCTTGGAGTGCCTTTATCACCAAAACGACAAGCAGATCAGCATCAAGAAGTTAAGCAAACTGACCGGCATCTGCCCTCAAGACATCACGTCGACACTGCACCACCTGCGCATGCTGGATTTCCGTAATGATCAGTGAGCATCACTTCCTTCTCTCACAGAATCGGGTGGCCTCAGAAAATGGCAGGATTATGCTCAGGGCTGATTCTGTAGATGCAAAAATCCTGAAAAATGCATTAAAAAAAAATAATCCATGTTTCCAGCCCTTGTGCTATCAAGATTACTCCTGAGAGGGTTTTTTGGGGGGAATCTCAGAACTCAGGGTGAATTTAAAGAGCGAGAGACGTGACTGAGGGGTTGACCTAGGAGTGGAAAGTCCTACATGTTATGGGTGAAAACATTTTATGAGCCCAATCACTATGGATTAATTCCACGTCAAGAGTCTCTGTGACATTTTGAAGGCCGTGAGCTTAGCGGTGCTGAGCAACAGCTGCACTGCATCAGTAGCAAAGGCTTAGCAATAATGAATCCCTCATTTGGGTCTCCCAGACACCTTTTTTTCCCTTCCTGCCTTTCCACATTTATAACGTGAACGTGATGTCATAGGACCAAAGCCACCTATTCTTTTTTCCTCCCTCAGATTTGTAATTGTTCGGCGGGAAAAACTTATCCAAGACCACATGGCAAAGCTGAAACTGAACATCCGGCCTGTAGTTGTAGACCCAGAATGTCTGCGCTGGACCCCGGTCATCGTCTCAAACTCGGTGGTTTCAGAGGATGAAGATGATGACCCCGAAGAAGCAGAAATCGATGTCCCACAGCAGTCGCGGGAGAGAGACATTGAGGTCAGAATGCGAGGCGTTTATGCATGTATGAAATTGTGAAGTGTTATAGAACTATAAAATAACAAAGTTGGAAGGGACCTTAGAGGTAGGAGACCCTATACCAGGGTTAGGCCACCTTGGCTCTTTTATGACTCGTGGACTTCAACTCCCAGAATTCCTGAGCCAGCGTGGCTCAGCTTGGAAACCTCTCCTTTCCCCTCAGCGTGGCTGGCTCAACAATTCTGGGAGCTGAAGTCCACGAGTCATAAAAGAGCCAAGGTTGCCTACCCCTGCCCTATACGATTTCAGACAAATGATTGTCCAGTCTCTTCTTAAAAACCTCCAGTGATGGAGCACTCACAACTTCTGGAGGCAAGCTGTTCCACTGATTAATTGTTCTCACTTTCAGGACTTTTCTTCTTAGTTCTGTGTTGGATCTGTCCTTGTTAAGTTTCCATCCATTGCTTCTTTGGAGTGCTTTGGAAAATAGGTTGACCCCCCTCTTCTTTGTGACAGCCCCTTAAACATGGTAAAACTATTATCATGTCACCCCCTCGTCCTTCTCTTCATTAGATAGACATGCCCAATTCCCACAGCTGTCCTTCACATGCTTTAGCCTCCATCCCTGATTGTCTTGGTTGCTCTTTCCGGCACTCTTTCTAGAGTCTCATCCTAACGTGACATCTACAGGTTTGTTTAGCGTGGTGTTTCTCAACCTCAGCAAGTTTTTAAGACATGTCGACTTCAGTTCCCAGCCGGCATGCTGACTGAAGAATGCTGAGGATGAAAAAGAGCTAATTTCTTTTTGTGCACCCCTCCCTCCCTTCCTCCCCCCAGGTGATAAAGTGTGTCTCCTGGGAGAGGAAAGAGCGAGAATCCTGCTTTCCGCTGGAGAGTGAAAAAAAGTCAGAGGTCCTCCCGGTCAACGCCCTGCGAGCCGGCAAGCAAAGTCTTCCCCTGAGCGGTCTTCCTGCCAACAGCCACACGCCGCGCAGGGGCCGGTGGAGCCGCAAGAACAAAAAGCTGCGGGAATCCTGCACCGAGAAGGACCCGAAACTGATCTTGGAGGAGAAGTCGGCAATGGCCAGGGGAGGTCGCTGTGGGGAGTGCCAGGAAAAGGCGGCGGCAGCGGCGGCGGCAGCAGCGGCGGCTTCTCGAGGGCGATTTGGGGAGAGCGAAGAGAAGACGGCCTCCTCCCAGGGGCAGTGTGGCAAATGTGAGGAGAAGAGCCCGACTCGGCGAGGGCACTATGGCAAAGAGGAAGAAAAGCCAGCCTCCTCCCAAGGGCCATTTGGCAAGGGCGAGAAGCCCTCCGCCGCCCAGAGGCGATGCAGCGAAGGCACGGAGATCTGGAAAGGGCAACTGAAAGCCCTGGAGCCCCTGAAAAGCCGGCTCTCTGAGCAGTGTGACAGGATAGCCCGGAGACACAGCGAGGGCGACCGCACGGTGCTGAGGCATTTCAGTGAGAGCAGTGAAGACGAAGACGAGGAGCCCGCCAGCCCCTGCTCCAGTTCCCCACCGGTTCTCACGAAGCCAGCCCTGAAGCGGAAGGTGGGTTTCTGCCTCCCCACCCTTTGAGGAGGGGGTCAGGAGGTGGGGCCTTAAAAGAGAGCAGCGGTCGGAGTTTGGCGTGGGCTGCAAATGGATTCTTGGGCTGGTTTTCATCAAAGTTTGGTTAATTGGCACAGTGGAGTAGAAGCTCCAGGAAGCGATCGTAGTGTTTCTGCTGGCAGTCCCTGGAAATCTTATTGATCAATAGAGATTAGCAATTTGATATGTTAAAAAATAAGCATTATTTCTCAGGAAGCTGAACTCAGTAGCCCAAGGGTCTTCAGACTTGGCCCTTTGATGACTGGTGGACTTCAACTCCCAGAATTCCTCAGGTAGGCACGCGTGCCTGGCTGAGGAATTCTGGGAGTTGGAGTCCACCAGTCGTCAAAGGGCCAAGTTTGAAGACCCCTGATGTAGCCCCTACCACATAAGAGCTTCTAGAAGTTCCAAGAAAGGGCGCAACAAGGGCGGCTTAGCAGTCTGTGTCTCGGGGGCTTTAAAGATGGAGACAGCCTCAGTAGGGCACAACGAACAAAAGTTATTACAGCCCAATTAAAATGAAAGCATTTTGATTTAATAGTACTCAATATTTGTCTTCCACCAGCTAAAACAGAATCCCCAGTTAAATATATTTGAACAAAATTGGAACAACGTAATGTACAATCTGCTTTTAAAAAAAAATTCCCATGCCTGTTTTGTGACTCTGCTGTCTTAAATGCCAGAACTAACAATGAAGCATTAGTAGGCAGCTTTCCTTATTTGTCTGCCATATGTTGGGCAAGTGGATTGTATGTCAGAGAAACCTAAAAATGGAATCATTCACCGTTAGGTTCTATTGAAATCAGGGAAATTTACGACAAATTTAGGCTGAGCTCATGCAACCCATTAAGCCCTAAATCACTGTATCTTTTATTACTGTCTTTAATTGTGAGGAAATCCCTTCCATTGGGTGGATAAAAAATATAAACAGATGTTGATGAGTTATCACATTGTCTCTTTGCAGCGTTTTTTCACTGGTTCCTTGTTTGTTTGTTTCTTTTTTCTTTCTTTTTTTACTGTCTTGTGCAGAAGCCGATTCCCCGGAAGAGACGGGTCCGCAAGCGAAAATACCACAACAGCAGCGTAGTTACCGAAACGATCTCAGAAACAACAGAGGTCCTGGACGAGCCATTTGAGGACTCTGACTCCGAGAGGCCCATGCCTCAACTGGAGCCCACCTTTGAAATGGAAGAGGAGGAGGAAGAGGAGGAGGAGGAGGAGGAGGAAGAAGAAGAAGAAGAGGAAGAGGAAGAGGAGGAAGAAAGCGAATTGTTCTCCCGAGGATATCTTCGCCGTCTCTCTCCACAGGATTCCCTTAGGCATAGGCCCTCCTTAAAGCGAGGAAATCAAGAAGGAGAGGAATCGGATGACACGGCTGGTATGTTTCCTGATACTCTGGTTCCGTGTTTCTCTGAATCCAGGAGGGTTGGTGTGTACTCTCCCTTAGTATTCCTCAAGAATGTCCAAACTTGGCATTCCATACCTGTCCATTCGGTTGTTACGGGGCTTCTATGGGCCATATCCAAGATCATGGTGTGTGGGAATACAAACAAACATTATTGATCGACTCTAGATTTTGGCAGTACTAACAATGAATAATTGTGGATTGCTGTTCCAAAGTTGACCCCTTCTGTTTTGCATTCTCTTCAGATTCTCCTACTTTGAAACCCGTTTCTTTGCTGAGAAAATGTGAGTCGCTCGATTCTCCGCTCCAGCCTGGCACTTCTACCCCCATGAAAAAGAAGAAAGGCTGGCCCAAGGGCAAGAGCCGCAAGCCCATCCACTGGAAGAAAAGGCCCGGGCGCAAGCCAGGCTTTCAACTGAGGAGGGGAAAAGTTCGAACCCCTACTTCAGAGGAGACCACAGATCTCATGGAAGCCAGTTGCAAATCAGGGCGTAAAACAAAAATGCAGGACGAGGAAGAGCTGGTTGAGGAGAAGGAAGAACTTCTGCCTAGTGCTGAAGAAAGGAAAGATGAAGATGGGCCTCCGGAAGTAGGTGATTTAGGAGAAGAGGAAGACATGCCTGCTAGAGAAGTGAGGGCGACCTCTCCCGTAGACAGCAGTAACAGTCCAGAGATGGAATCTAAAGAACCTGAACTGGAGGAAGAAGGGGAGAAGCCCCCAGTCCTAGAAGACCAGAGGCCGCCGTCTGAAGAAGAGCAGCAGGAAGTTGAAGAACCCGAGCATGACCAGGAAGAGGAAGAAGAGGAAGTTGCAGCGGTAGCTAACCAGAACGAAGATCACGATGCAGATGACGAAGAAGACGATGGCCACATGGAGTCCATCCAAAAGAATGAGCTGGAAGAGCAGGCCGAGAAGGAGGCCCTGAAGGAAGAACCCGAAGAAGTCCAGGAGCCTTTTTTAGAAACAAGCACACAGGACGATAGAGACGATGACGCCAAGAACAAGAGTGAAGGAGAGGCAGATTCTGAGGAGGATCAAGGGTCCCACGAGACATCAGTCGGGTCAGAGCTGGTTCCTGGATCCGAAGATGACCAAGAGGAGGAGCAGCATCCTAAGGAAGGACTGATTGAGCTGAAGGAAGAGGAGCCGGTCCCCCACAGTGAACTCGATCTCGAAACTGTCCAAGCTGTGCAGTCCTTGACGCAAGAGGAAGAAAACCACGAGCACGACGTGGCTTACCAGGACTGCGAGGAGACCCTGGCGGCTTGCCAGAACCTGCAGAGCTACACCCAGGCCGAAGAGGACCCGCAGATGCCGATGGTGGAAGACTGCCAGGCCTCGGAACACAACAGCCCCATCTCCTCTGTCCAGTCTCACCCCAGTCAGTCCGTGCGCTCCGTCAGCAGCCCCAGCGTGCCTGGCACGCTGGAGAGCAGTTACACCCAGATCAGCCCCGAGCAAGGCTCTCTTTCCGCACCTTCTATGCAGAACATGGAGACCAGCCCCATGATGGATGTGCCTTCGGTGTCAGACCACTCCCAGCAGGTGGTGGACAGTGGCTTCAGCGATCTCGGCAGCATCGAGAGCACCACCGAGAACTACGAGAATCCCAGCAGCTACGACTCCACCATGGGGGGCAGCATCTGCGGCAACAACTCCGCGCAGAGCAGCTGCTCCTACGGAGGCCTCTCCTCCTCCAGCAGCCTCACCCAGAACAGCTGCGTTGTCACCCAGCAAATGGCCAGCATGGGCAGCAGTTGCAGCCTCATGCCGCAAGGCAGCGTCCAGCCAACCGCCAACTGCAATATCAAGTCCCCCCAGAGTTGCGTGGTTGAGAGACCCCCGAGTAACCAGCAACCCACGGCGCAGCCTCCACAGCCCCAGGCCCAGCAGCCCCAGCCACCGCCTCCGGCCCAGCAACAGCAGCAGCAGCAGCCTCCGCCGCCCCAGCAGCAGCCATCGTTGTCGCAGTGTAGCATGAACAACAGTTTCACTCCAGCGCCGATGATCATGGAAATCCCAGAATCTGGCAGCACCGGCAACATCAGCATCTACGAGAGGCTCCCTGGCGATTTCGGGGCCGGCGGATACTCCCAGCCCACGGCCACCTTCAGCTTAGCCAAGTTGCAGCAATTGACCAACACGATTATGGACCCCCACGCCATGCCTTACAGCCATTCTTCTGCTGTGACTTCCTATGCAACCAGTGTGTCTTTGTCGAACACGGGCCTTGCGCAGCTGGCCCCGTCACACCCTCTGGCCGGGGCGGCCCAAGCACAAGCCACCATGACTCCCCCGCCCAATTTGGCCTCCACCACCATGAACCTTACTTCTCCCCTGCTCCAGTGTAACATGTCCACCACCAACATTGGCATCCCCCACACTCAGCGGCTCCAAGGCCAGATGCCGGTCAAGGGGCACATTTCCATCCGGTCGAAATCGGCCCCCTTGCCCTCGGCGGCTGCCCACCAGCAGCAGCTCTACGGCCGCAGCCCTCCCGCCGTGGCCATGCAGGCCAGCCCCCGGGCGTTGGCCGTTCAGCGTGGCATGAATATGGGGGTGAATCTGATGCCTACGGCCCCTTACAACGTCAACTCCATGAATATGAACACGCTGAACGCCATGAACAGCTACCGGATGCCCCAGCCCATGATGAACAGCAGTTACCATAGCAACCCTGCCTACATGAACCAGACGGCCCAGTATCCTATGCAGATGCAGATGGGGATGATGGGGAGCCAGGCCTATCCCCAGCAGCCTATGCAGCCCAACCCCCACGGGAACATGATGTACACGGGCCCTTCGCATCACAGCTACATGAACGCTGCTGGGGTCCCCAAGCAATCGCTCAACGGGCCCTACATGAGGAGATGAGCAAGACGGTGTGTCCCTCCCCCAGCCCTCCCCCCAAAACGTCTCTCGCTCAATCAAGGAAACTTTTATACTGACAAAGCAGAGACAATGGACCTTTTTTCCAGTTAAATATTGCTGTAGATCTTAGATAGGGTTTTGTTCCCTTTTGGTTTATTTTAATTTTATTTTTTTAGGAGGCCTGGTCTTTTTTTCTTCTTTTCTTCGCTGGGAGGGAGGGGTTGGTTCTCTGGTTTGGGGGATCTTGGTTTTTTTTTTTTTTGTTTTTATTTTTGTTTTCTTTCCCCTTCCACAATCTGGAAACGCTTCACCATTCAAATCCATTTTGGGAACTGGGCTTTGGGATTCTTTTTTTCCTCTTTTTTTGTCATTTGGGGAGAAAGGGGATGGAAAACGTGCACACGATATTCCCGTCGTTGAACCAAGAGCCTTACTTTGCCAGAGCCACCTGGGCAGAGTCCGTGGCCTCTTGCTTTGAGGCCCCAGAGTCTTTTTCTCCCCTGGACCCTTGTGCACAGCTCTTCAAATGGCCCAATCCTGAAAGGTCAGATCCTTCCCATCTTCTGTGCCCTCTGGCTCTGTGGCAGGCCCTGGGCGTGGTGCACGGAGCCCAGAGCAAACGTTCGGAGCCTTCTTTGCCATTTCCCCCAAATATAGGAACTCTGAATAGTTGATATTTTGTTTTCTCTCCCCTTCTCCTCCTATCTCTTCTTCTCTCTCCTCTCCTCTCCTCCTCTCCTCTCCTCTTCTCTCTCCTCTCCTCTCCTCTCCTCTCCCCTTCTCCTATCTCCCCTCCCTCCCTCCCTCCTTGGGTGAACTGAAAAACGGTTTAAATGTAACTAAAGTGCACCCATTGCATATATCCAAGTAGGAACTATGTAGTCTAGTCCAGCCGAGTCCAGCCAAAAATAGGGGTGGGTGGGAGAAACAGAGTTCTGGAGGTGAGCCCCCAAACCCAATGGCTGGACTTTGCATTGTGAATCTGCTGGAGGATCCAGTTCCTAGAGGCACTTGTGCAAGGCTGTCCCGCCCCTGGAAGTTGGGATGTACATTTAAATGGCTGTCGCAGTCGCTTCACATATGTATTTTTTTTTAAAAAAATTTGCTGGCCTGGCGCTAGCATGTGTGGGGAGCGAGTATTCACATAGGACTTCCTCCTCCTGATAACAGCCCCCCCCCCTTTTATCCCCTTTGCCTCCCATCATCTTTGGAGGTTCACTAGGCGGAGTTTTTCCACATTGCCTTTTGTGTGAGAGCCTTTGGGGGGGGGACAGGAGGATCCCCGCATTGCAGTCCACCCTACCGAACTGCGAAGGACGCAAGGCCCGTGGGCACGCCATCCACCGATTACGAGGAGGAGAAAATGTAGCTTATCCTTCTGATGTAAAGTTTTCTCTGTATATTCCTGTAGAGCTACAGACGCACTTAGATTGACTTAGATGTGTAAAGACTTTTTTGTTTTGCTTCTCAAAGCAACCTGAAAGGCAGTTTGGAGGGGGCCAGAGCTTCAGCTGCACTCAGTGGACTTCCCTCTCTCTGCGTGAGGATAGAAAGGCAGAATCCCTTGGGCTTCCAGCCCTCGTTTTCTCTGAGTTCTTGAGCATGTGTACAAGGCTGTGTAGGACCCAGGACCCTGTAAATATCCACCGATCCAGGCTCACTTCATCTGTGTTGAAAGGTGACCCAGCCTGTCCCCTTCTGCCCAGGTCATCTGCGCCGGCTGGCTGGCCTCGCTTCCCGGTGGCAGATGGCCGTAGGGGCCGGTTGGTTGGTTGGTTGGGGTGTCGAAAGCAAAGCTGTTGGCACGAGGGCCGTAAAATATATATATATATATTTTCCGTCTGCTGTTACCTTTTTCCCTCCCAGTTTTGGATTTTTCTATTTTTTTTTTTTTTAAATCAATTGGGCAGCTCCCTTTTTTCCACAAATCTTTGTGACTGTAGAGCTATTGTAGATGAACCGGTGTTCTTTTCTATATTATTATTAAGAAAAAGAAAAAGTATCCAACACAGTAATATTGGTACCTGTCATTTTTTTTTCCACTTCTGTTTAAGAAAAAAAAAAGAAAGAAAATAATAATGTATTTTTAGCAAAATAAACTTGGGTAATCTTCTAAAAGAAATTTTAAAAAAAAGAAAAACTCACTGTTAGTGACTTTGATGCCTTTTAAAAAAAAGAGCTTTTTTCATTTCATTCCATCTTTAAAATTTTTTATCTTTGTTGTAGAATATTAAAGACTATTTTAAGAAAGATGAAAATTCTCTTTAAAGAGATCTCTAGAATGTGTGACTAGAGTTCCAGATGCCTCTAAAGCCGCATGTACAAAATGAAGCCGCGTCTATTCCTGTCTGTTTATATTTGCTTTTCCTGTTTTGTAACTTCTTTGTACTTTGTTCTTGGTGACTTGTAAGCTTCAGAAGGGGAAGGGGTGCCTGGATGATAACCCTTTGTAATTCTCCATGTCATGAGCTCCTGGGCCGGCCGGCCTCTCTTCCTCTCCTTCTATGTAATATCACTTTTTCCCTCCCCTCTTTCTAGCAAGTACTTTCAAAAGAACTCTGTACATTTTAACATAAAAAAAAATAAATTATGTTGAGCCATTTTGGAGGTCTGGTTTTGCACATGGAATCTTCCTTCCTTTGATAAGATCACCAGAGTTGCCTCTTACACATAAAATAGGTCTCTTATTTTTCTGTTAAGGTTTACCATTTGTTCACCAGCAAAAATTAATCTCGATTTTTCTAATCCCTCCCTTTTGTCCTCCGGAGGGCTTAGTTTCCCCAATCTGCAGGAAAGTAACCTGACTTAGTTTGAAATCTGCTCAAGCTTAAAAGCACCTTTCTAATACACAGATTGATGACTGCAGCCATCTTGAGTCAAGAGCACTGTCACTGGGTGAAGATGGCATGCCTTTAGCAGAGATGTCTTCATTTTTGGAAAATGTATATTTTTTTTCGGTTCAAAGTGCCTGTCATTTCCTTGTTTCCTGAGCCTCAGTTAGAGAAAAACACAAGCTTCAAACATGGAGATCCAATGGCAGCTTGAAACCGGTGGAAAGGGTTGAACCATGAAATGCTGCTGGTTATTTGCAACTTCTGTCCTGCAGCTTGCTCTCTTGTACGCTATCACAGCCGATGATACAAAACATTTGGGATAAACATTTAGATGTACACATCTAGTACGTTCGTAAGTAAAACTGTAAAAGTTTTAGACTTACTTTGGTACAAACTAGACAACACATGACTCAATTTCAGAGATATTTCCTTACCTAAACACAGAAGCCTTTTTCACTACAGGTCAGGGATAGAGGGGTCATCCTATTCTCCAAAGCACCAGAAGGCAGGACAAGAAACGATGGATGGAAATTAATCAAGGAGAGAAGCAATCTGGAAATAAAGAGAGACTTCCTAACAGTCAGGACAATTAATCAGTGGGACGACTTGCCCTCAGAAGTTGTGGAGGCTCCAACACTGGAAGTTTTTAAGAAGAGATTGGGCAACCATTTGTCTGAAATGGTATAGGTTAGAGTTTACGTCACCATGAACTCGGAGAGCAAAATGGACATTGCCAACAAATTCAGAGTGCTTGGGTGTAATTAGGAGGGCATTTGACTTTTCTAGCCTGCCCTATCTATGTTTCCTGGGAAAATCCCATTGGAGGAAGATTCCACTTAGGGTTAGGGTTAGGTCACCATGAACTCCTAGAGCAAAATGGACGTCGCCAACAAATTTGGAGTGCTTGGGTATGGTTAGGAGGGCACTGACTTTTCTAGTCTGCCCTATCTATGTTTCCTGGGAAAATACATTGGAAAATCCCATTGGAGGAAAATTCCACCTAGGGTTAGGTCACCATGAACTCATAGAGCAAAATGGACATCGCCAACAAACTCGGAGTGCTTGGATATGGTTAGGAGGGCAGTTACTTTTCTAGCCTGCCCTATCTACGTTTCCTGGTAAAATACATGGGAAAATCCCATTGGAGGAAAATTCCACTTAGGGTTAGGGTTAGGTCACCATGAACTCCTAGAGTAAAATGGACATCGCCAACAAACTCGCAGTGCTTGGGTATGGTTAGGAGGGCACTGACTTTTCTAGCCTGCCCTATCTACGTTTCCTGGTAAAATACATGGGAAAATCCCATTGGAGGAAAATTCCACTTAGGGTTAGGGTTAGGTCACCATGAACTCCTAGAGCAAAATGGACGTCACCAACAAATTTGGAGTGCTTGGGTATGGTTAGGAGGGCACTGACTTTTCTAGCCTGCCCTATCTACGTTTCCTGGTAAAATACATGGGAAAATCCCATTGGAGGAAAATTCCACTAGGGTTAGGGTTAGGTCACCATGAACTCTAGAGCAAAATGGACATCGCCAACAAACTCGGAGTGCTTGGGTATGGTTAGGAGGGCAGTTACTTTTCTAGCCTGCCCTATCTACGTTTCCTGGTAAAATACATGGGAAAATCCCATTGGAGGAAAATTCCACTTAGGGTTAGGGTCATAGAGCAAAATGGACATCGCCAACAAACGGAGTCCTAGGAGGGCAGACTTTTCTACTGCCCTATCTATGTTTCCTGGTAAAATACATGGGAAAATCCCATTGGAGGAAAATTCCACTTAGGGTTAGGGTTAGGTCACCATGAAAACTAGAGCAAAATGGCAACAGTGCTTGGGTATGGTTAGGAGGGCACTGACTTTTCTAGCCTGCCCTATCTACGTTTCCTGGTAAAATACATGGGAAAATCCCATTGGAGGAAAATTCCACTTAGGGTTAGGGTTAGGTCACCATGAACTCCTAGAGCAAAATGGACGTCACCAACAAATTTGGAGTGCTTGGGTATGGTTAGGAGGGCACTGACTTTTCTAGCCTGCCCTATCTACGTTTCCTGGTAAAATACATGGGAAAATCCCATTGGAGGAAAATTCCACTTAGGGTTAGGGTTAGGTCACCATGAACTCCTAGAGCAAAATGGACGTCGCCAACAAACTCGCAGTGCTTGGGTATGGTTAGTAGGGCAGTTACTTTTCTAGGCTGCCCTATCTACGTTTCCTGGTAAAATACATGGGAAAATCCCATTGGAGGAAAATTCCACTTAGGGTTAGGGTTCATATTTATGATGGTCGCAGTGTCATGCGGTCCCCTTTGGCGACCTGACAAAGTCAATGGGGAAGCCAGCTTCACGGAGCAACCGGGTTACTGACTTATCAAATGCGATGATTCATTTAAGAACTGGCAAAAACTCATCACAACATGGGGCAAACTCACTTAACAGACGTATGGGGCCAGAAGATGCATGGAGGAAAGTTATCTGCCAGGTCTCAGTTTTTCCTTTCATAGATCATTCATTCCCCCTCCACGCACAACCTTTATTCAAAACCGATTTAGAACTTATTTTTAGAGCCGCTTCCCAACGGATGTGTAGAAATAAATTGAATAAATAAAGAAACCCCTCGTCTTCAAAGCCTTTATTTTTTTGTAAGCTGGACCATGAAAATTACGCCTTCTCCGTCACACCTCTTGGGAGTTCCAATCCGGCAGGACGAGTTGACGCTTCTCATCTCGAGTTACGAAACAAGGGGCGCGTGCAAGCACGTCTGAATCGTCAGCCACCGGTGAAAACCTGGAAGCACCAGATAAAGGGGGGGAAACGCCACTTCAGCCTCCCAGAAGAGGTGGGGATGGATTCCGGTGCCCATTTTCCCCAGCCCAGCATGGCGCTTAAAAGTCCAAAAGGATGCCTCCTGCGTGTTCCCTGCAGGAATTTTAGCCACGGACGCCCCGTTTCCATTTTCCTACAGAATTTCCTTCTGCACGACAATCTTGACTCTGGAGCTGCCCCGGCGCTCCTTGCACAGCTGCAGAGGAAGCGCGAGGGGGAAGCAATGCCTCGCACACAGCATTTCTGCACGGCTCTGCTACCTTTTACCTCGTCATTCCCTGCTCCCGGGAGGTCTGGGAATCGTAGTCCGGCATCTCTGCAGCCCCCTGGGTGGAGAAGGCTAGTCTGCAGATGGCAGCTATGTAAACATTTGGATAATTCAGTCTGGCAGCTGCATTTTCTGTAAGCATGCTTAATTCCACCACCATCCCCGCCTCCTCCATTTTCTTGCTTCCTCCTCTGTAATTCTTGGGTGAAAAGTGACAGAAAAATACATCTTTATTCCCTGTTGTTTGACTCTGTGTACATTTGTATATTTGCACCAGCCTGTTCCTAACTTTCGTCCTATTCTCTGTTTGCACACTTCATCCAGGTATTAAAATTTAAAGAAGGGCCATATTTGATCCGTGTATGGGTGCTTGCAGGGAAGAGATTACAAAAGAAAGAAAGAAAGAAAGGATGGAAGGAATGAAGGAAAGAAAGAAAGAAAAAGAAAGAGAAAGAAGGAAAGAAGGAAAGAAAAAGGAAGGAAGGAAGGAAAGAAAGAAAGAAAAAAGAAAAAAGAAAGAAAGAAGGAAGAAAGGAAAGAGAAAGAAGGAAAGAAAGAAAGGATGGAAGGAAGGAAGGAAAGAAAGAAAAAGAAAGAGAAAGAAGGAAGAAAAGAAGGAAAGAAAGGAAGGAAGGAAAGAAGGAAGGAAGGAAGGAAGGAAGGAAGGAAGGAAGGAAGGAAGGAAGGAAGGAAGGAAGGAAAGAAAGAGAAAGAAAGAAAGAAAGATGGGGAATCTGACCATGCCATCAACTTCCTGCTCCTTTTTTACCTGAGCTGCAACACATAAATAAATGGAACTTCGGTCCCATGGGGATGGCTGCCATCTTCACTTTTTCGCCCCCTTTCAATTACCCCTGAATCCTTAATAGGGAATTAAAAGTTAGACTTACGACTCTGCCTCAGTTGTTTCTGTGGCAACAATTCTCTCCCCCCCCCCCCAAAGTCCAACTTGCATGTTATAAAAGAAGGACGAAGGACATCATTAATTGCTCTATATCGTGCTTTTTCTTCAGGGACACATTTTCGTTATTAACTTAATGCACTCAAGAGTGTCAGGAGGACAGTGTGCTTAAGAAACATTCAAATAGCCCTAGGTGTGTATGTGGCTTTTCTATCTTCCCGCAGGGAATCTTCCTGCTTGAAGCCCTTTCCCAACTATTCAATACTCCCAATTAACAGATAAAATGTGGTTGTGAGGGAAACCCTTTGCTGTACAAGCCTAAGATCTTGGTTCAAGCCTTGCCTTTTCCATTGTTTAAAAAAAAAAATTTCAAGTAGCAAGTGATTGGAAAAACCATAGCTCCCCTTAGCTTTGTCACATCCAAGTCTGGCTTCATACCATACATTAAACCCCAAACCACCTTAACAAACCACAAGTGTTGTGTTCCCATAAAACGTTACTGTAGGATGGCTTGATAGGCCAGTCTGATTTCATGCAACTTTCTAAGGTAATGGTTGACTTTTCACGTTATACTGAACGATAAACTATCCATGGAACATAGAATAATAGTTGGTTTTTCTCTGCCAAGCTGGATTACTCCCATCTAAAAGGAAAAAACACTTTCTCCAAAACAGAACCAATTCTTAAAGTGAGCAAACAGGAGCCAGACTAGTTTACTTCCTTGGGTGGGGCAAGATTTGGGAGTTATCGGCTATAGCTCCAGGGGCTGGTGCAGGAGG